CCCTGCCCCGGGCAACCCCCCGTATCTGTACTGTGCATCCCCTGGCCAGCTTCGGGAATTTCATTCTCTGTGCCACCACTTGTGTGCGTGTGTGTCGGTTAGTTAGCTCCGTAGCGAGCAGCGTTGCCCCCCACCACCCGTTTTTCATTGCCAGTACATTTTGGCCCTGCCCCTGCCCTCCTGGACACCGCTCCTTGAAATTCAACCCTAGCGTTTGATTGCCGTTTTGTTTCTCCCTCCCTTGCTTTGCCCCTGTCCCCCACCGTGCCGCATCCACGCATTTTCAGTTAGCCGTGGCATGCCACCGCGTGGTGGTTTTTGCGCTTTGCGTCCTCGCCCCACAACCTGCCTCGCCGGGCCTCACCGCCCGGCAGGCCCTATGCCCACCCCCAGAGTCTGCTTGTCCATCCGAACTAGCAGTTCCAAATAGCAGGTTTATATGCATACCACCCCGCCGTCCCTGCCGCCCTGTCAGCTTGGGAGCGCCTCTCCCCCTTGGGCGGAGGCGCTCCAAGTTGTTTTTTCTTTGCAAGAGTCGCCACTTGTGTTATTACCCAGCTGTTGTTGAGGCAGTCCTTGCTTGATGCGATTGGCTGTTGTAACTATCATTAGGCGCATGTCGGCACCCCGTGGTTGAGGGGGATGGTTGAGGAGGGCGGGAAGATGCGACCATCTGCCTCTGCCTCTGCTTCACACAACACCACCAATCGATGAGTGGTTGGGGTGAGGGAAGTGGCAGGCAGTTCAAGCAGGGGGTGGGAAAGGCGGTTCTGTGCGGGGGGACCAAAGGCCGGAAGGGGGACAAGCCAGCGGCCCCGCGGCAGTGGAGGGAAGGAGCGTTCGATGCCAAAGGCCATCGAACCGGGGTTTGCCGCGGCAGTGCCGGGCCTGGATGTTGCAGGGACCTGTTTGGGGGAAGCCTGCTCTCTGTTCAGCACCCTGCACGTCGATCCGCTGGCCATGGCGGCAGCCGTGCTGAGCATGCCGCCCGTCGCCATCTGTGGTGGAGCATTGCGCGGCCAAGGCATTGGTCATTGTTTGTCGCCGCCCTCTGCCTGCGAAGGTGCCGTCGAGTAGCTGTGCGGCTCAGTCCTAACCCCGCCAGCAGCAGGCTCTGTGCCCGAGCGGCTGTTCGTGCGCTCGCCCCCGCGAGGGCGACGGCAGCCTCTGCCCTCCACCTTGACAGGAACAGCGTGCTGAGGTCCTAGGGGCGGCGAAGCGAGGTAGGGAGACTGCCGCCACCATTTTTCATCGCCAGCCTTTGAAAGCAGCCCTCTGGGCCTTGAAACGGACAGCGCGCTATTCCCCACCCTTCCCTGGGTGTCCTCCCTGCCGTGCCAAGGCCGCTGAGCTGCTGCCTGCGCCCTCCGCGCTGCAGGAGCGAGGGGGCTAGGCGGAGGCACACCGCCAGAGGTCCGTGGGGGCTGCTTGGGGCCTTGTGTGGGTGCAGCCGCCACTGATCAGGGCGCCAGCGGGGCCATGGGCTAGTCATGCAGCCGGCGGCGGCCAATAGGGTTCCGGCCGTATTGGCAGCAGCTGGGCGGCACCGCGCGGCGGCCACACACGTAGCCTGCCTGCCACAAACTGGCGCCCCACTCTCGGCACACAGTGGCAGCAAGGGCTGTGGCGGGAGCAGGAGGCAGCAGGCCGAGCCGCCCGCTCGCTGGCGGTGCCGGCACGGGGCGCGCCGCGCTGCCGCTCACCCCACCCTCGCCCCTGCCTTCTGCTGCAGGTCCAGGCACCATGCCCGCAGACAACAAGGAGGAGGAGCTGGTGCACCCGCCCAAGGTGCGCAGCGGCAGCTGCTTCATGGAAGGGTATCGGGCAGCCGCTGCCGCTTGGCTGCCGGCGCAGGCACCTCAGCGCCGCCGCGGCAGGCCCTCGCAAACATCGGCTCGTGCGCCCTGCTGCCCCCGGGCCCAGCCCGCACCGGCGCACCACCCAGAGGGCGCCGCGTCCGCGCCGACATCCCCGCCGCGGTTGCGCCTGCGCGCCGCCGACGCCGGCCGACGCGCTCGCGCTGACGGCACATGCTGGCCCTCGCCCGCCGCGTCCCGGGCACCCAACCCTCTCCACCTCTGCCCCTTCCGCCCTACAGGTCCAGGTGTCCAGCTCTCCAGTGTATGCCACAGGCAGGCGGCTGGGCAAGGGCGGCTTCGGCCAAGTGTTCCTGGGCACCCGCTCACAAAAGTCGAGGTCGGCCAAGGACCAGAAGCCCGTTGAGGTGCGGCGCGGCGCGCTGACCTGGCGCCAGGCTGGCCTGCAGGGCGGGCCCGCTGGCGCGCGCGCCCCCGGGGCCGGGGCCTGCCGCTGGGAGGCCGCCGCTCTTGCTGCTGGGCTGGAGGCGCGCCGGGGCGGAGTCGGGGGATGCGCCGCCGCCGCTGCCGGCGCAACCTTACCCTGATCTCGCCGCCCCTCGCTCCCATGGGCTGCCCCTCCCCTCACCTGCCCCGCAGGTGGCCCTCAAGTTTGAGCACAACACCAGCAAGGGCTGCACTCCCAATGGGCCTCCCTACGAGTGGACGGTGTACAAGTGAGGCCCGCGCATGGCTGTTGTCCGCCGCGCCCTCGTCCACCCCGCACCGCACCCACCCCTGCTCCGCCTCGCTGCACCCCCTCGCCCCCTTGCTTCTGCCGCCCGCACCTCCCTGCTCCCTTGCCCGCTCCGCCTCACCTGCTCCCTGCCCTCCATCTCCGCCCCACCCCCTGCCTCCCACCCTGCCGCACCTGCGCCCTGCCTCCCCCTCACCACCCTCCCACCGCCGCTCCCCCATCTCCCCGCCCCCCGCGCAGCGCCATTGGCGAGGTGTACGGCGTGCCCAAGGTGCACTACAAGGGGCAGCAGGGCGAGTTTTACGTGATGATCATGGACCTGCTGGGCAGCTCCCTCTGGGACATCTGGAACCAGGAGGGGCAGCAGCTGACGGCGCAGTACGTGGCATGCGTGGCCGTCGAGGCGCTGGCCATCCTCGAGGCGCTGCACCAGAAGGGGTGAGGCGGCGGCGGGGGCTGGCAGGGGCGCTCTGGCGGCGGCGTGAACGAGCGGGCTGCCGAGGGCTGGCCCGCAGCCTTGCTTTGCGCGCGCACCATGGCATCCTGCCTGCCGTATGCCTCCGGTCACCCCCATCCCACCACCCCACCCACACGCCGCCTCATTTTCCACCCCGCCCCCGCCGCCGCGCCAGGTACGTGCACGGCGACGTCAAGCCCGAGAACTTTTTGCTGGGCCAGCCCGGCACGCCCCGCTCCAACAAGCTCTACCTCGTCGATTTTGGGCTGGCGCAGAAGTGGCGCGACTCGCGCGCCGCGCACGTCAAGTACGATCAGCGTCCCGACGACTTCCGCGGTACCATCCGCTACGCCTCGGTGCACGCCCACCTGGGGCGCACGCCCTCACGCCGCGACGACCTCGAATCCCTCGCCTACACGCTGCTCTTCCTGCTCAACGGCCGGCTGCCGTGGCAGGGGTTCCAGGGAGACAACAAGGGATACTTGGTGGCCAAGAAGAAGATGGCCACGAGCGGGGAGACGCTGTGCAGGTGTGGGGGGGGGGGGGGGCCGGTTTTCCCCTGCCTGGGCCTGCGTGCCCCCGCTTGTGTGCAATGGCAGTCGAGGGCGGCCCGCATGCGGCTGGGGGTTTGGGGGTCCCAACCGGCTGAAACCCAGGG